ATAGGGGCTGGGACAACGTCTTGAAGGTATGCCGTCCAAAAGCATTTGGTGGCCACGTCATCTTGGGCATTCACGTAATCGACAACTGTTCGGAACGCGGGCCGGGTCGAAACAATCTGACCGTCCATGATGTCCAGCAAATCCGACAGGAGCGCATTCATGGACCATCCGTCAATGAGAGCGTGGTGGATGGTCATGACGCCATAAGACTCCGAACCGTCAATGATTGAAGGGGACGTCACGGCGAGACGGACGAAGGACGAGTCGTTCAGAGTGAACCCCCGTGCGAAATCCGACTCCAACAATTCTGGCAACGCAACGTCAGACACATGCGATATTACGGCGGCCACAGGTTTTCGTGCCGTGGGGATGAGCTGCACGATTCCGCAGTCTGTGGCCGCAAACGTCGTTTGGAGGAGCTCGTTAGCCGCCACGAGTGAGCGAAACGCAGACACCAAAGTCTCTTGGTTGAATGCGCCGGAGAGTCGCAGCGTGACTTGGAGGACGTAGGCGCTGGCGTTGGACAGAGTTGCCGTGACCATTCCTGCTTGGATGGGCGTGGTCGGGTACACAGTAAAGTCGTCGTTGGCCTTGTCGGAAGAGGAAGGAGCCACATGTGCCTCTGGCCACACGACTTTGTCCGTTGACTGGGTGGAGTTGGCTGCCTTCACAACCCCCTTGACAGTTGGATCGCGTAAGAACTGCGTCACGGTCAAGTTGACGTCGATGGCTCTGCACGCCGCGACGGCTTGAAATGCGATAACAGAGTCACCACCAAGTGCGAAGAACGACGTTTTTCGACCAATATCGGCTTCATCGACGGTCAATAGAGCCGCCCATATTGCCGCGACTTGAGCTTCCCGAGGGGACATTGGGGCTCGTTCAGCTTTTGTTCTGTGCAGCCAATCGCTCACTTGAATGGATGGACGGCGAGGGTACAACACTAGGGGCGTGCTGCGTCCAGGACCAAAGTCGAAAACGTTGCACTTCTCTTTGCCAATCTTGGATTGCAGGGTGACGGACACGGCCGGCCAGTCGATGGTCTCCGAAAGCTGCATGCGGATCAAGTCGGGGATGATATCTCGGCTTCGATACGTTTTCAAGTCGGTGGCGTCGCTGGTTGTTCCAATGACGGGGAAGTGCAAAGCATTTCCAGGGATGACAAGACCCAGCCGAGTCGCGTCAGCTTCAATAGCGCTCTGGGCATCACTGAGCATTTCGTTGTGAAACGGACACGACACTGGTAAAAACTCCAAGCGAAAAGAGTCAATTGGGTGGTGGCTGTGCACTTTGCCTTCCAGCGCTGCATGCAAGCGCTGCAAAGCCATCGGGTGGCCCGTCACGGCAATCGAGGTCGCGTCGTTCACAAGAGATATCTGAACTGGGGCGTGGTAGTTCATGGTGTGATCGTTGAAATCGAACACAAATGACGAGAGTGTGGATTCGGTCCACCCGCGGATGAGAAGCATCGGGGTAGGCACGACGTTTCCCACTTTATTCGCACGGTGGCCCTCCTCGACGGAGTCAAACGCGGCTTGGGCGCGGCAACCGTGGTGATACATCAGTTGCATGAACTGCAATCCAAGGTCTTCGAGGTCGCTATGCGTCGTAGCTGTTGCGACCAGCACTGCTGCGACAACGCCTTGGCTATGGCCGGTTCCGCCGCGAATGCGTGGAAGGAGCTCATCGTGAGTGACCTCCATTGATTCGAGGAAAGCCATGTACGTAGCCAGCTGCGTCAAGAAGACAAGGGGGTAGCTCACACATGCATGGAGCAGCGCTGATCGGGACGGCCGCGACGCTGGCTCTGTCGCCCACAGCAGTGGCTCAATTCGGGTATGCTTGGTCACGTCGATTTGTTCAAAGATTGCTTGGGCCTGACCCACGAGGTTACGGACAGTCTGAAACGATGTCACGAGGTGGGTAAGTTGGTCGAGGTAGTCGCTCCCCTGACCCCCAAAATGAATTAAAGCTGCGTGCTCGTTGGACTGGTCCGTTCGCCAGGGGCGCGAGTTTGCCTCAATGGAAGGTGCATTAGGTTGCATGTCAGGGCCACTTGCGCAGAATTCGTGAAGTGGAAACATGACCATTGCCACGATCGTTTGGAGTTCGAAAAAACCTGTTGGCAATTAAAGTTCTGGGTCTGCAAATGTTCGCCGCCTGGATGGAAGTAAAATCTCTTCGACGCCTTCTAGGTAACGTTAACTTAAGATACAGTTCGTTCACCTCCATGCCGCGGTTTTGTTCATTGTGCAGGAACAATCGATGCACCCAACTTGTATCTAAACGACTGGATTGTACGGACTTGAATACTCGACTTTCATGGATGTTTTACCCAGCAAGTGCTCCGTGCCCTGCAGTAATGACAACCATGGCACATATGCGGTATGGTATACTTGACCCACCTGGGCGCTACGGTCCACGTGCCACGGGCTGGTGTCCAGCTGGCATGCGAGGACCCTCTGTGCTGCACAAAGTGCTGGATATGGCCGCCATTCACCACGTGGTTTGTATCCGCATCGATGCCTCAGTAGGTCAGATGCGCGAGGTAGTTGCCGTCGTCACCAACTACGACGAAGCAATATTCCATATATTATTGCGCCCTGACATAATATCTGCATGTCGCAGCTCCCAGGCAGTAGTACTTCTGAATTCCGCCTGAATGCATCTATCCCCCAAGTCTGCCATGGTATGAGTTCAACAGGTGTTGGTGCTCGAATTCTCGGACTCGTATGGTTAGTGGGAGGCTACTCCGACGAAAACTTGTGCAAACCAGGACCTTGTCTCTCGCATTCGCGTGCACTCATCCCGCCACCTCCAGGGAATTGTCGCGTTCGATTGTGTGGACGCACGACACCGTGGTTCAAGCCCAATTGTGGTCTTGCAGCTTGCTTCCAGCTTCACAGGGGTCTCGACATCCGATGGGGGACGTGGTTGGAACGAACGTATCGACCAAGTAAAAAGCGCTGTCGTGATGCGCCGACGGACATGTTCGAGGGGGAAACAATTGCGGACGCCAAAGGCGGCGTTTCTCATGCATAAGTCATGTAAGCTACAATGAGAGTTTCGTGACAACATGGAGAAGAAGTGTTCACGTGGAGAATAACTCCATCCAGGATCCCATTCAATGTCCGGCCAAGTTGAATTATCTTCACTTTCGGCGCAACATCTTTAGCCAAGAAACGCTGTGTCCATCCGCATCTTCGTAATCGAAGCGAAATCGCACCAGCATATCGTGGTGGGAGACAAGCATGTCAACAGGTACTTTGAGCGACTCGACGCAATTGGTTTGCCTTGTCTCTATGCAGACGACATTTACCATGTTGCCAATGGTGCACATCAACCAGATGTGACGAAAGCGCATGTGCTGCTACTTTGACACGTACCCCCACTCCACAGGAACCCGTCCAGAAGACGAGGCTTGCATGGAGCTCCTGGTAAGCGAAATCACATGACACGTTGATTACCTGCCCTATAAAATGTCAAAAAAGCAGCGCCAGACCGGGTTCGAACCGGTGACCCTCAGAGCTGCAATCTGACGCTCTACCACTGAGCTACTCGCGCA